GCTGTAACAAAGCATAATATCTTGTATAGAAGAATAATGATATAGTGTGAGACTGTTATATTGCAGCATCACCACTCAAACGATCGACTGCCAGGACGGCCACAAACTAACAAATCTATTATTTGTGTGTTGCATGTTAACGTTCATTGGCATTTCCTTGTGATTTCTCTTTGCCAGATCACTTTCAATTACACCAGCCATCAAAGATATTTTTACCTAGAGCAATTTTTGCTTTTGCCCTCTTCGTGTGTACTTGTTGAATCGTTTGCCCCCGCCACCGTCTAGCCTTTTTCCCTGAGCCTCTCTGCCAAGCCCGAAATGCGAGAAGCACTTTTTTCTCGATCGTACTGCCACCATGCAAGCTTCCGGTGCCTCCAGTTGCGATGGCAAGTAATGTCTGCATGCACTATGACGACGTTGAATACACACACATTGTGGCTATGCCGATGTCGTGAAGTAACGCCCCGTCCCTGATGAGGTGATAATCACAGTAGTCGCCTGGCGTTGGAAACATTTACACCGATGCTCAAAGATCTGAAAGAGTGGACGGACAAATTTAATGTTCAACCTTACGTGACCGCAGAGGCCGAAAGTTTCCATTGAGTAAGGTCGCGCAATACTCGTCTAAGAAGAGAACACAAAGGAAAGGCTTCGAAGGAAACAGTAGCAAGTGAACGAAACAGGCCCTTTGTGTTCACCCAACTGATTCAAACAACCGCCGGTTCATCGCATTCAGTTAGAAGTTACTCGCGATAACAAAATGTCCAGTGGCCTTCGACCCGGAAACTCCACCCTAGCAACATGATGATTTTTCATCATTATTACTCTAGTAGCAGCAGCAGCAATGGCAACATGTAAATACATTACATCTACTCGTCTGTAAGAGTGAAAGGCTGATCCTCGACTGGTATGATCTTCTATCTTATCACAACGATGCAATAACTTCATATGACTAACGGCCTATAGCAGGTCATAATAAAGACACTTCTCTTTGTCTTGTACACCGCATCCCATTCGAGTCCTAAAATGGCATTGCCTGAGTCGTCCTGCTTGGACACGGAGGAGATCTATTTCATTTGCCGGTGTTGCGGTCGTTCGATTGAAAGGTCCTTTGTTTCACATTGACCCAATACAACTGAACAAAAAAAAGTTGTTGAACGAGTGAATAACATTGAATTTCGGTGACTCAGCAGGAGGGGGTAACACGCAACTAAATAGAAAAAAAAAAAAAAAGAAAAAAGCGAGACACTAGCTGGATTTATTTCCTTTTCTACCGTTCTTTTTTACTATAGGAGGATTGCGCTGATCTAGGAAGGCATTTATATTGATATTAAATGACGGAATCTTATGACTCATTGTTTTAGATTATGCTATCCACTTTTGAGTGCCCACGCACTGAAAATGCGTTTATCTGTTAAGAAAGTCGATAGTGACGGCGTAGTTTATCAATAAATCCATCATTAGAAATAAACAGGTTTTATCTGGAAGAATTGTCTGCACCTTTTCTCTGCTCATTTCCGTTTTTTTTTTAGTAATGTTTGCCCACTTTATGGACAAAATCTACGTCGACTCGTAGCGTGAACTGGGTCTGTACTGAAACGAGGATTATAAAGTCTGCGATAAGTGTACATTTGCTAATCAGTAGTTTGGGTACTTTCAACCATCCATATCGTAGCTTGTGTATATATATCGTGTAGTTCGTTCACAATAGCTATTCATTGAGAATTACCTATGTAGAATTGTGAGCTGCGTAAGTTGTGTCACTTGATACACTCTACAAGATGGTGTATCCGTACCTTTCAGACGGAACAGAGCTTATTACCTTCTGTTGCTTTTATATTACAGTATGAATTATGACACGGAGTAGGCCTAAACAGTGCGGTATCATCAGCTGCGAGATAATTAAATGGAACTGATAAAATCGCAGTGCTCGCAGCTATCGATCTGTATAAGAGTGCAATGGTTGCGCGCAATAGCTACACACACACACACACACTCACACACACACACACACACACACGCACACACACTATTACTGGCAGTATAATAGAATATTATAATTTTTACTATCTGACTTTTATATCAGTAAGTGAAAAGATAAAGCTCTCAATCGTATTGTTGTACCCACAATCAGAGCTGCGGTGATTGTCGACTATATCGTGAAATGCATGTTTACTGCGAAATATCTAGCGACTATGTTCTTCTAAGGTGCCATATAAACTGAAGCGGCTTTAAAGGCTTTAACCGGATATATAGAGTATAAGAGCTTATCCTTCTCCGTCAATCTGGCTATGATAACAACGAGCATTCAGTTATTCTACCATTCGGGATCTTCGGCAAAAGAAAAATACTAAAAATCTGGTTCTTCACGGCCTAGTTAGTTAAAACCTAACGAAACTTTTAAGGCTCATATTCTGCTTCAGTTGAGGGCGGGTGGTTGACAGCTAGGTAAGTTGTCAAACAGCGAATAGCAGCAATGCATAGATATTATTGTAGATTTGGGTGGATAGGAAAAGGCCTTCGACTCATAGATGAGTTGTTTTTCCAAAAGGAGAATTACGTTTAAACTTACTTCTCGAATACAGGCGGTTTTTATTAATTATGCTGACTGTATGTTTTCATTACGGATTTTACAAAAGCTGAAGGAGTGGCAAGCATGACCTCCATTTCTCGTTTGATTTAACGAGCCTTTACCCTCTTTTATCAACTAACTCTGTGTTTTTGTTTGTATTGTATCATCCCTACTACAGTCTGTTCCAATCGACTGGTAGAGTTGCTGCCGATATGTGTTGTGTGGTCATTTTTGCGTACTTACCTAAAACACAACACGCGCAAGACATGAAGTCGTGCGCAGACAAACAGGTACAATTCAACCCATAGATGTATAATACAACCCCTCAATCTTATGCAGAGCGAGCAAAGTTGGTTCGGCCAGTTGTCCTAGGGGCAAAGTTGACATTTAGACAAAAATTAGAGCATTTCAGTAACTGCTAGTTACATTTTACGTTCTGGCAAGTATGAAAGGTTGAGGCTAGCGGGCCAGTTGCCTGGCACGTTTTCGTTTGATGGGTCGTTGTTGCTACACAAGAGAAATATAATAGTAGAAGTCACGTCAGTAACACCATTGACATCGTAACTTTTGCTGCTGCTGCTACAACCAGCATAGCAACGAATCAGCCCTGTTTCGGACAAAAGTTTCCTCAATTTACATCTTCAAGTCTCCTTTCCGTCTTCCCGCCTAAGTGGCAAAGTAGCATTTAGGCGAAGATTTCCAGCATCATCCCTAACGCCGCCATCGCCACGACTATCAACACGATCGTTTTCGTTTTGTTCGTCGTCGTCGTCATCGCTGCCGCCGCCGACATCATAAGGCCTGCTATTTTCCGTCGTGTTCATTCTGGGGTTCATTCGCTTTCATTCGCTCGATGTTTCCTTCGTTTTTACTTTCTCCGTGTCTTCTGCTTTCGTTTCTGAATATTGAGTGTCTGCTAGATGTTCTGTTCTGTTTTTTCAGCTGCTTCTCTATGTACCTTTTTTCCTGTGTGAAGATTCTACGCGCGAATCACATGGCACAAATCATTTTCTTAATATTGCAGTTGTATTTCTCGTTTGCGAGTCTGTAGCAGACGAAATGAACAGACAACATTTACTGCTGCGTTTGCGGCTGATACGTGTTCGATCGTTAACGCCGCAAATAACAAATAACACAGTCGAGGCCCTGACAAAGCTCTTTATCAAGAGATTTTGGTATCTCGTATACGAAACAGCTGTGCCGCCATCACTAAGGACGGTTGCTGTTCAAATGCTATAAAAATGGTAGTAATAAGTAAGTTGGCCTTTGTTACGCTGCAAGTGTTTGTTGCTATGGCATTCACTGACCCATAATACATTTGCCAATACAAAGTAACGTCGCCAGACTAATCATATTGTAAAATCGTATTGCGTATTCATAATCATTCCGCAGCCATCGAAAAAAGCTAACATTGAAAAATCAATTTCAAGCAAAAAAGAAGAACGTTTTTATTAATTAAGACGCTATCATGTTTTAATGCATTTTTACTATAACAATATTCTGCTGAATTTCTTAGGGCATAACGAAAGAGCGCTCATGTCTATGAGGCAGTATCCTCGTACTCAAATATTCCCATGAACTGCTTCACAATGAAAGGTCTGAGTCTGTCGTATCTATGAAATTGGCTGTTTGCGAAGTGTCGGTAGTACTAGATTTTTTCACTGATAGCGTGCTCTAGTTGTTCCGTGGTAATATGTTCGACTAATTCATTTATATGAAGCGGACTTTTCTTTTAAGTAATCGACCACTACTCATAAGCCCATAGAGAGATGGAAACCTAACATCGGTGCCCCGGATGCAGTATACTTTATGACTAATACAATATCAAGCTAAAATTCGGTTTAAACGCCCAACATCTGTGAAGCAGTTTAGGAAACATCATATATCTCCACGCAGACCTTGCTCGGTAGATTAATGTTAATAAAAAAAAAAATATTAATGCTAAGCGACAAGGGACACCGCCACTACACACACGCACACGGATCAGTGGATTGATTTTTGAGAAGAAGAGTGGTTAAACCGAGAATTGCTTTGATACTCTCATCTGTTCTTATTTATAGGAAAACGTAAAACTAACCAAAGTATAATAAAGGTAGAAAGTAAACAAATAGCGATAGTCGTCGTTTTTTTTTTTTGCAACAGTGATCAGTGCCATCGAAAAAAAAAACGCAAAATGAATAGGACAAGTCGTAGCTTTTAAGCGGGTGCGTTTTTTATGGTTCGATTACTCAAGTAAATGCATACAGTTAATAAACGTTCCATATTTTTCACCACAACAGAGCGATGGCACCGTTGAATCATGTCAATGTTAGTCTCTATATAATGCACGTGGTTACTATGATAAACCACGATTTACAATGCCTAACCGTACATGTCACTCACATTTCATTTTTGGCTATTTTTTTTTATTGTCTGATATATATTTCAGGTGACATTACCGAAGCGGAGATGGTTCGTGTTCTTCAGACTCAATTCGCTCCTTTAGCAGAAGCCCTCTGCAAGGCCGTCTTTGATCTGTCGCAGAGGGGTGACCCTGCCACACTTGACTCACTTACCCTCGAACTTTTGCGTGCATACCCCGGAATGGAGAAACCTGCCAGCGATATAATTTACAAGTAAACCATCGGTTTAGAAGTGGCGAACAAGCATTTATCCGATATAACATACATATATATAACGAATATTTTCTTTTATAAATTACATGCTGTGGAAAAATCTGCGGATAATTACGTTACAGAAAATCATGACCATGAATTGTAAACTTCTTGTCTGAAAACTCTCAAAACTTCCTAAAAACTCTAAAAATCACTATTCGAAATTATTTTTGAGCAATAATTACCCAGTGCAGTAGGCGCCAATGCTGAGCATGACTGTTAAGCATAACTCCACTGAGAACTCATATTTTAAGGATTTCAATTCGGTTGTTCTTGTTCTTTGTATCACTAGAGGCCCGTTCCATGCACAGCTGTTTCTTGTAGGTCGTCTATATGTTGGCCTTTTAATATGTGAACGTTTTTGAGCAATCTTTTTTCTCTTGGATTGTGTGTTTCAATAGAGATACTTAGGCACATCAGCTCTGCAGAGAAGTTCAATGACAAAATTCTTGCTAGGCATCTCACATTTGTACGTACTATATATATATATGTATATATATATATATATATATATATATATATGTATATATATATATATATATATATATATATTCTGATTGAGTGCCATTTGATAAGTTATAAAAATTCAAATCAAAGCCAAGTGCTAGTTAGAGCTAAGCTTCGATGCCTGCCGCACAAGGCATAATAAACCCCGTTCTTGTCGATAAAAGGGTCAGATATTTTAATACATATTTAGCGAAAAAATGTCCTCGTTAAGCTACATATACACACAGAGTTCGTCGATAGCTTTATATGCTATGATATATTACAGTATTACACAGAACGTTCTGCGCATCTGGTTACACTTCGATAAAAAAATGTTGGTGTTTTACGCTCTAGCCTAGCAGCGACCAACAATAACAACGTTTGCGTACATATTTGCCCTTTCGTGATTGTACATTGTGTCTGCAAACATTGAATTGATAGGGGAGTAGTCTACCTTGCTAAACGTAGGTAGCTATCGAGTGCCTCCATACATATTTTCACCAACTTTGGTAGATACCTCCAAGATATTATATTGCAACATGCCATGATTAAAAATACATCCTACTTGGATACTTAATGCATTACGACCGATCAAGAAATCCCATCAGCACGGTACAGATATGGAAGCCATTGAGATAAAGCTATCGCTGTCGACGTGCAATTGATATTATTATGATTATTATGCATTGTATTCAATCAATTGACGAGGTAGCGTCACATACATTACCTGCGCAAATTCATACAGGCTAGCTGAATCTTAGTAAAACCCCCAACATACACGCCAAAACGTCAGTTTGTTGTATTACGTATATTCACACATACCGGTGTATCTGGAATAGAACTACAGTCGAATGTTATAACTGCAGTACATCTCATAAACGGACCAGAAGATTTAACTGAAGGGACACCGGCGAATTACAAGATCCTCTTTCTTCCGCCCTACAATCGTCCATATTACAGTTGGTGGTCCGCAAAATTACCATTCATCAGTAGAATGTACATAGATCGGAAGTTAGCATAGGTTATATAAATAGAAAAAAAGGCATAAGATGTGTATTTAGTGGTCAGCGCGGAGTGGACTAACGAGGTGCGTGATAACTAATGTGCAAGTGGTCTTACCTTGGATTAGCCGGGTGGTACGGAGACAATCACGTCCTTATTAAGAACTAACCTTGCAAAAAACCGAGATTATTATAGACCTTCAATTGAATTAATCGTAACACAGCTCTTTCTCGTATAATTCGCATCCGAACTATCAACCTCCGGGTCTAACTAAGCGGAAATAATGGATTTCTGGGTAAGCTACTGTAGAGCGATTTGCAATAAATACTAAAATAATATACCGAGTTATAACTAACTGAGTAAAAACTCAGCTGGGATGGTTTTAGCTAAGCTCAGTTTGTGAAAAGTTAGTCAATTCGTCTTTGCTAAACGTTGTTGTCATTACACGTGTATAATTAGACGATAATTATAAAGTAACAATAGTAAATACAATGAAGACATACGGTGTACTAAAGTTACTACTGATCTAAGAACAAGAAAATGTACGTTCATTCGTGATTCACCGTCTCGCTGAGCAGTATCAACAGTTTGTTTTCGCAGTCGAAACAGAAATATATGGAACTGCTTGATCTGTTGACCTTTCACATGGTAATGCTATTTTTATAATAGGATAGCCAACGAATAAGCAGACGCCACCAGAAAAATCTCATCACTTATTTAATAATTGCTTTTTAGTCGCTGACGGTACGTCTGGACACGATAAGCAGACGTCAATTTGAAATAATTATTCCTTAAAAATGTTTCGTTGCTACCGTGGGATGTGCTAGCTACCAGCCTGTGAACTTCGATATTACGGAGTTGAGCTCCACAATGAAGCTTACCGTTAAAATGTATTATAAAATCATCGCCGGAAGCAACTTATAAGGAAGTCCTTGTGTTATTTGTATCCGGACTATGCGCTGTCTTACGCAGCAGTCGACTAAAGCCCAAAATTTGAGTAGATAATTTCTCATTTGACCCACATTAGGCGTCGGTACGTGTTGGACTATATGCGAGTCACATACACCATATGCTTGTTATATCCACAGTTAAGTGTAATTACGAGCGTAAAATTCACGATGGGTAAAAAACAATTAATCACATAACGATTGCCCCAATACGGAAAATAGGCGAACTACACTGGTGCATTTCATGAAAGAAAATGTTTGAGGCTTACGTCGCCGTGTACACAAAAACTAAACAAAAGCATATAGTATTACTGGCTGTATTTTCTAGTCTTTGTCTGTTTGATCAGGACGAGCATCTGTGAAACATATATATATATATATATATATATATATAGTGTGTATGTGTGCGTAATTTCGTTGATTGTAACAGAAAAATGTTTCCTTTACGTCATTAAGCTTTGCCATAATTTGGTGTCGTATACGTTACACAGCGGTCGCGTGCGACAGTTATTATATTGAATTGTTATGTCGTGTATCTGGATTTGTTTACGGTGGCCAACATTATTCTACGCAATTTTTAGCTACGAGCCAGATAATAATATATGTATGAGGATATTCTAATCTGAGTTACAATTAAAACAGAATCTAATTGACACAACGTCCGTTCGTTGAATAGCACGCAGTATTCCAATATATAGCGGAAGCGATGTATTGGTGAAAAATGGAGTAATAGGGATTTGAAGCTTGCAAACGGCTGGGTCACAGGGACTGTGAATGGATGTTCCTCATATTTTATCAATACAAGAGCCTTTAGAGATGGCTCGGCGATAGCACAGCGGCCGAGCACCCTGGCTCGCCGGGTTCAATATCTCAACAATAAAAAGTGTCTCAGAGTGATTTTGTCACTGAAGCTAATGATTTATGATAAGCTAGTCAAATGCTACGTCCTCGTACCGCTTAAATAGGATACGTTGAGAAATTGGAGTAGAAATCCATTAGCGCCATATAGTAACAGGACTCGACGACGTAATGCCCGTACCGTTTTTTCCTCCGAGTATTTGCCCTCTATAAAGTATTAGGTCTCAATCGTGTTCTGCTGCTATAGATTTCTATACAGTAGATAGATAGCCTTCTAATGACCCGTTTGTCGTCAATTTGCGCAGGACACTAGGAACTCTTATTCGAGAACGACGGCTATACCACACCGGAGGCGGGTACGCTGTGGCAGAACCTGAACTGTTTCTGCGAGGGACTCCGACGCTAAAAAGGGCAAGTCTTCTCACGAACGGCGTAGATGCTTCCAAGGTACGTATCCATTATGCCAACGTTTGATGATGAAGTGATCAAATTGGAGATCTATCAGCCAAACTTTGTTTCTTGCCGCATTTCTGAGCAATAGTATTCTTCTCTATATTTTTTTTGATGATGAGCTGCACCGACCAAGCAATACGGTAGCTATTACAAGTTTTGAGGCTGTTCTTGCCAACATTTCTGCTAAAGCGTTTTACCCGACAGCCTGTTAGCTACTGATAAATTCTAGCAATTATTCGAAATATATCTATATATAAAAGAAGACGAGCTGTAACTACGACGCTAAGTTTCGTTCGGTTAGATCTCGTATCAGGCTATTGTACAGCGCTTTATGAAGAAATTTTAGACAGAAAAATCTAGAATGAAACTGTTGTTATGAACATATCTACATAGATATACGCAATTAGGAATGTACGATATAGAGCAGACAATGTGTTCAGTAAATGAGATCATCTGATATCTAGTCGACCTTTCAGTGCCATATAGTAGACCAAAATTAGAGTATGAATAATTACTGATTAGCAAAGGCTGCCTAAAGTTCAATATAGGTACGTGTCGATGCAAGCGTTAGGCAATCGTTAGACAACCAGATAGCAAAAAAACAAGTTGCCTCCAGGCAGTTTCCCATCGTTTTCAACTTTTGTTCATGTATTTTCAGAGCAGAGCAACTAACCCTTATTGTGACTTCCTTCTTTTGCAGCAGTGGAGTAGCCAGAGAGTAAGCAAAAAACATATTAAACACTTAATAACACCACACTTCTAATACATAGTTGACTTGCTTATCTGCTCACCTAATAAATACATTAACAAACAAAATACACTGTATTTAAGCTCCTCCATATATATATATATATATATATATATATATATATATATATATATATATATATATATAGACAATACGAACTATGTTCGTATTGCTATACATATGTATAGGCTACGGGCAAGAACAGGCGACATCTGGGGTGTCGGTCCGTTTTAGTCCATATAGACTGGTGCTGGATACCTAACCGGTCGGGAAATGATCGGCTATGATGGCTCTCCGCAAGCCTGTGTGATGTTGTGTTTATGCGCTTCTGGAGCTCGAATGTCAACGACACAGCAATATAGTATCAGGCTGGGTAGTGGGTCCGCCGTTCATGCAACTGATATCTGGCTTCATACTGTTCGTTTGTATATAAACAAACATGCACAGAGACTCATTAATAGACACACGATACGAAGTATATGTGTATGTATATACATAGTGGCCTATTGTCGATAGGGCCAATATCGCATTGCACGCGGTGCCGTCTATAATGCCTGTCGTTGTAGCCGCATTTCGTAGGTGGTGCTTTTCCTTCTGCTCGTCGGTTCTTTCATTCATCCGTTGCTTGTCGTTTCTTTCCTTTTTCCTTTGATGATGATTCTCTATTGCTCTCGACCGCTCCTTCTGTGCACCTGTGTTTGTAAGTGTGTGTGTGTGTGTGTGTGATGGTCTGTGTGTGTATATGAATGCTAGCCCATCGTTTCTCGGTTATTTCCCTACATTGTGAGATTGTCATTGTCAAAGCCTGGCTACTGCGACGACGACGGTGACGACGACGACGACGACGATGACGATGATGATGACTACTACTACCATTACCGCCGATAGTTCTAGCGCCGCTAGAGCTATGACAACGATGTTGATTTTGATGATCATGAAAGTGTTGTTGTTGTCATTGTTATTGATAATGATGATACTGATCATTAAGTCAGTTCGTCTGTCCGACCACCATCCTGTCCGTGCACTCTGTAGTACTGGAGCTGTTGTTCGGAGATCCTTCTAGATTTTCGAATTTTTCATCTCTTCTGTTTTTTGCTTTGATTGTGATTCTTACACATCTTATCTATTTGTCGGTATTCTTTGCATCCACCGTCACACTTATAATCAACGCCCTAGAACTAGCAGCTGTGGCAGCTTTTGTTAATGTTGCTTCCAACAGCAGTATTCTACTACTATCGTGATTTCGTCATGGCTATTTCTTAAATTATAGTAGACCAGTCTGGTAAAAGAAGTGTTTTGGAAATTGAAATCTACGCGATACGGAGTGACAACAAAGTATCAGCAGTTGTGAATAAAATAGCAGTTGTTACCGCTTTACGACGATTGCTATTGCCGACGCGTTCTGCGGATAATAGTCACAATGGCTTTATTGACTACCTCGAAACCTGAGATTAATGATATTTAGGGGCTTAAAATCGAAGAATGGACGAATGATGGCCACACGCTTTCTTTTCGTTTTTCATGTAAATGGGAATTTACTGTTTGTTCGTGTATCCGTACGTGCGGGGTCCGTCGCCAACTATTAGTCTATCCTCGACCTCGTCCGCCTCTAAGTCATATGGTTTCGTTCCATCTGGTTCTGGGCGGATGAGTGGTCGGCTAACAAACGAAACTGGCTTACTGACAGTCGAATCACCAGCCATGTTCTATCCGCTACGCACTCTGTGCAACTTCCTGCCAGAGTACAGTCCACTATCGAGGAGTGAGAAAGAGCACGACGATAATCTGAACTTGTTCTCTTGAGAAAATCGAAGTCTTTTAAAGGCAAGCTAAAAAGTTCTGTGAAGTAGGTGGCACTGCAAACATCACTGCTGTAATGGCACATTCAACATACACGCCCTCTACCTGGACATCGGTAAACGTAGCGGTGGCTGTATTCAGCGTAAGTGCATGTAAGAGAAAGAGAGAAACAATTAGGATTCGCAAACAAACTAGGACACTCTCAGGCCTGCGTTATATGAAACACAGACGCAATAACAACAAGCACAAAACTTCCTCGAACTGACACGACACAAGATACTAGACAAGGTGGATGCACTGTGTGCCCTATGTATTATTATCGTCAATGCTGTTACAATGGTACTTGAGTCACAGCCGTTGTTGTTATAACCGGCGTTGAAGGAAAAAAGTTCAACGACCCGCCGCACGCGACTGTTCCATATTATTATGATTGTTGATATTATAGTCCAGGTTGTTATACATACAGAAACATATACAACAGTACTTCGCGCATCGTTATTAGAAGCATTTTTGTGAAATGCCGATGCATGCGCCCTCTTAGGATGTTGAAGATACACAATGAGCAACTAGACAAAACAAGCTAGAACCCAAAAACCTATAAATTGAGTTCTGTCAATGTAAAATTTGGAAATGTTTTGCACGTGTAACAGGAAAAATGGAGATGTGATTCAGCAAAGGGGGGAAAAACAGCCCCCATTAATGAATGAATGATTGAATTCTACGTTACCGTTCGATTTGCCAGATTTTTTCCTTTTGGCGTTTCGTCTGTACATGCGGCAATGACCTGGTCTGGGTCAATTTTTACGGGTGCAATTGCCTAGGCATACGTTCTAGTGTGTGGACGTATGTACTGGCAGGTTTTTGTGATGAGGCTTCATGACGTGATCCTATGATGGTCCCAATAGATAAGGCAAAGAGTTGGCCTAACTCAAACACGTTTATACAAACCTGCTGCGTTTGATGAAATAGAAATTTCATCATTCATTTTGTGTTCCAATTTATGGGCAATCAACTGAAATTCGAAACAAATTTAAATTTATAAGTGAGCTTTATTCATTTTTTACAACGACCAATGCTATTAGGTATAGACATTTTGCAATATTAGTAATTCTAACAACTTGCTTAGATGTATCGATAGTCTTAACAATTTACAAGGAAAAATATAAGTTGCAAGGCCTGACATGAACTTGAGCTACATTTATCAATAGCTATCTTTTATTTTATCAATTCATTATTTATTATTAATGAAGCATATTCTGTTTTCTAAATACGCACAAGGTAATAATGTCAGTGCGGACACAACATTTGTACCAGCGGCGATGTTCTTATAGGCTTCTTGAAATCGTTTTTGTTTAATTACGTATCTTGAACCTGAATAAGGACTCATAAGCTCGAATAGATCATCAGCACATGGAGTTGCCTTGGGAAGCTATAGGGAGGCGGTATGCCTAACTCGTATTATCGTATATGCTGGCTTTTCTCATGATTATCATTCTCGCTCATGTGATCGTCGTCTCAATGTCGTAATTCACCGATGATGCTATGTGCACTGATTATGTGTTGTGTTAATGGCATTGCATATCTGAACACCTCTCGTGATGCCTTCGTCCTCTAACGTGCATCTGCTGTTTGTTCTAACGTTTGCTACTGCACTATTACTGCTGCTCTGCTACTGTACGGTAATATGTCGTGACACTCGTGTTCCGTGCATGGGTCCGCGCACCCCCGCATCCACAGGTGCTGAACTCGTCGAGTGGCGAGTCGCGGCAGAGTACGCTGGAGCGCTCCGCATCGATGAGACTCCTTCGTGAGAGGGACCGCGACAAGGGACCTCTCTGTCGAAGTGCATCCGTTCGGCTCTACAATCGCAGCAAAAGCTCCCTAAATGACCACGCAGACAATAGCAGGGACATTCATAGGCAACAGGCAGCACAACATACGCCACAGCTAGCTAAACGTCAGTTGGGTATTTCAATTACTAGTCGCCAGTAGCAGAAAACCTGGGCTAATAACGAACACAATATTTTCCAATTGATCCGAATAAAAAGTGAATGCCTTTATCACCAAACCTTCGCAAGAAATTCGAGACTGAAGTGGATTCGTTAGGGCTTACGAAGTACGATATAGTTCCTTCTCTAGAACACATCTTGTGTATACAATTATATGACTTAGATGTTTTATCATTGAAAAACTAGATTCAATATGACATATACGGCTTGTTACCCGTTGTTATTGTCCACTGTCTGTACCATCCTGTCCTTCGCACTTTTTCGTCGTTTAAATGAACAGGGGACAGCCCAAAGCGTTCGTCGATGTTCTCTCGTTTCTTTCGCAAGAAAGAGAAGAGCTCGCCGGAAATTGTCGTTGTCCATACGACGACAGCGTCGACAGGTAGACGCGATGCGACCAAAGACGGTCGCTCGGAGCCTCATACAACACAGCTGGCTTCAACAGGCAGCACAAATCAACACCACCATCAACATCTTCACCATCAGACTGTTGCAACCTCTTCATCGACATCGACGACTGGCGCCTCAGCAACAGATGCGGGTCCTGCCGGTGCGAGTTCGACATCTCCAAAAACTCGGCTCTCGTTTGCCGCTCAATTTCCGCCAGTCGACTGGAAGGATCCCGATTATGTGAACTTCCATTCGAGAAGCACACAGACCTCGGTTAACCGCGAACAACAGACCACAGGCAGCCTGATAAACGGTGTTAATAATACGCAACAACATGAGAGCTTACGTCATGGTATTGGCCAGGCCGACGGAGATCGCCAGCGTGCTCCCCATTCAAATGCGGGTAGCTACCATCACCATCACGCACAGCATCCAAGTCAGCAGCAACAACTCGTGGCCACCGCGCAGCTGCACGACAGCCACAATTCTAACAACAATCAACAGTTACAGCCTATCAGGCAAGAGGTGAGCAGTAATTTATGAAGTTACTCTGTCTAATGGACACAAGGTATTCTCCAAACCTGTACATTCTTTATAAATACACAAGGCAAAAAGTAAGTGTGACAGTTCCGGACATGTACCGGAACTTGTCAACTTAGCATCGAAGAATAATCAGTCTCTGAGATATAAATTCATTAGCTTGCAAATATGAAGTAGGGTACACAAATCGAATTTACTGGATGGTTTGTAGGGTATGAAAATTGAGATTATCGACAACATATAGCTAATTCTGTAAAAACCTAGATGTTAGATAATTTACTTATGCGTGGCACAGTTTGTGGAAAGCAGGATTTGTGAAGGATCGCTTTTTTGAGGCGAACTACGGAATGAAGGTGATACAGTCGACGGGTAGTGGTAGACTAGTATTTGTTTTATAAAATACTACGAAAAACAAAATAGGGGGATAAAACACATTCGTTCAAGTTACTAGCTATACAGTCTTTTCTCTCTTAATACGTATACTGATACGAACTACTACCTCGAAATCAAATGTCCTACTATTACAAGCACGACCTCATTACTGTAGATTTTGCTTCTGATGTTCTGAGATAAAGCAGGCGATTGGTCGGTCGTTCTTAGCTGCCTAAAAACCCGGTCTGAAATTTGCCTTTACATGATGGATCAGTCCTATACCCTATGGTGCTTAGGTATTTCACAAAAGTACTCGGGTCAGTTTTTCTTTATTCTTTCGGTTTATATGATTAATGTAGAAGCGACATAACTGAATGAACATATGGTATTCAGAAACTAACAGAAATTGTTATCAGGCTGCTTAAATTCGTACTCTCGAATTAGTGCTTATTTAGAGCAGTTATGATGCAGGTGTTATGAAACATTCAACTCAAGTAATCACTTTTTATTACATATATAGTTAGTATATAAAAAAAAAAAAAAAAATAGTAATAATAGTAGCACAGCCTTTTAAGCAAAAGTAAGTACAATGGGAAAAAGGTTGAAAAGGAGATCAGCCTGAGACAGCTTTGGCAAGAAGAAAGTCATAACGTACATTGTAAATTAATGAATTAGAATGAAACGATTTGTATGTGTTGTTATGGCACTGAAATGAGTTTGAATAATATTCCAAAGATTGACGGAGATACAGAACAAATACTTAAAGAAAATAATTTCTTCGTGGTCCAAGAGGCGTAGTAACTAGCAATGTCTGAAATGTTTATTTTTGTATCGTTTAAAACAGCCAATTTACTTCTAATAAACTCACAATGTTATAAGCATTCTGAAAATGGGCCGGCTCATCGGGTACGGGGGGGGGGGGGTATAGATCGCTATCAAGGATGGCATTTTCTACGAATATGCGTGGTTATATGTATAATCGCGCTTGATTTATGCGAGTTCAAACCATTATTAGGTTGTTACAAGGGAATCCGATGGACCTTGAAATCAAGTAACTTTTAAGCTAGTTCAGCTAGGATAATGATTTTTTTTTGTGTTAAAGATACTCGCCTTTATTGTTTACACACTTCTTTTGGCGTTCTATGGATTTCTGGCCAGCTACATGCCTACAATTCACGTTCCAATATGTACATTGGGTACTTTATTGCTGGGGTACGGAAATGAGGTCTGGCGTTGTCGTCGAGTAACCGGGTTGTGTGCTTTCTATTATCATAGCAGTGGTCCATGAAACCGATCCATGGTTGTATCTATTATTTCATTTTCAGTGAGTATCCCGTAGCAGCAGATACCCCTGATGTGCATTGCAAGTACTACTATTATTTCATGTCCAAATTTCGTCGACATGGCCACCAAGCATTTTTTTCTAGGGCGACGCCATCCTCTCTCCTGTTCCCTTTTCAGCTGGCAGTAGAGATTAAATTATGCACCGTCTGTAACGATCAACCTGTGTGCACTAAACGGATGTTTTGTTGATTAAACTTAGGGAAACGACTTGTAGAATATACCGCACACATTTTCAACTGGCCTGGAGTAAATTCAATAGAAACCCATTTCTTATTCGGTATTTGTGTTTACAGTATTTGGATTAGAATTTCATAACGCCTTGCGTGTGAAACAGCAATATTGTTTTGCCAAATTTCGCTCTGGTAAAAGGTCTCTTCAATTGCGCGTTTTTATTTTTCGGGCTCCGACGTTTAGTCATGTCCTGACTGGTCCTCAGCACTTCAGTATGCGTTCTTGAAATGTTTGCACCATTCACATACAGCGCTTCAGTTTAAAGCCTAACCAACCTGCTAGAAACGCATTGTTCAAAAGTTATTTATATTAAAAGTTCGCTAAATTCGCCTGCAACAGCCCAATAATTTGTTGCTGTAGTTGTACTTTGAATGTAAATTACGACGATAAGTCCCAGGTCATTTTATCGGAACTGATCTAACAGCCTCTGGTATTTTGTTAAAGACTCGGAAAATACTAGTATATACAGGTATATCGCTGACCTCATATATACGTTTGTGTGTGCCTTCGCGACCTAGATCCCGTCACGTGCTTTGAGTCTTGCTCGTCACTGTCACACAATTCGACAGAGTTCGTGCTGCAGCGATGCCACGCCGGAGGATAGTGGAGCTGAATTATCTTCCAGAAGGCGGACATCTTCCAGATCGAATTCAAGGTATAGCTTTTAACCGTCTGAAGTGATGGTTTACTATTAAGTACGGCAAAAAAAGATAATTTTCCTAGAATAAGGTGAATATGAGGTGCATAATGATGATGTTGTATCTTGACGCTTTCCAGGTCGACTCGCCATCGGCGACATTGCTCCGTGTCAGACGAGGTTTGCTGTCGGCACAGGAGTTCATCACCTCCTCGCCGAAAGTCACAGACTCCACGTCGTTTGCCGCCCACTTTACCGGGCGACGTGTCGCCCTTGCAATTGCGTAAGACGCACCCGCGGTATCTGCCCGCGCCGCCAAATGCTTGCAAGATCCCCACGCTGCCACCTTATCCTACTAGCGGACTATACAGGTTAGCTTACGTACGATTGTGATATCATTAAAATTGACAACCATTCTGTTAAGGTTTGTTCACTGATTACATATCGGGGATTCGTTATTTTGTATTCGTTGCGCATACAGGCAAAAGATAGGTTTAGTGCCGTTGCCTTTGTGTCAAGTGTATTACGATTATTTAATAGTGTTATTCTCAGTAAAGTAAATCTAATCAAAACAAGACCGTTCTCATTGCAGCACTGGGAGAAAAGCTATAGCTTCAATATTAGCGTTATATTTGTAAGGCAGATTTCCTATTAAGTGAGCATATTCAGAGCAAAGTGTAGGAAGAACAAACGTTGAATGATACAAATGGTTATATTTAACAGATTGAACCGGCCTCCGCTCTTCCCACCGGCACCACCCCCAAATACAGATCTGTTCCGACAGACGGAACGCTTCCGGCAGCACAGCAGTATCTTGTTCCATAGCACTGACGAGGACTCACCACAGGTTTCTGGTTTTGCCCTTGAAATTCAGATTTTGTTTATTAATGTAATAGATTATATGCCATTACAAGGTTAGTTAGGCTGTAACGAAATATAACCAATGTTATACTTCTTTCCGATGACAGCTTCCGCGGAAGGCTGTGATTTCAACAGAAAAGGAAATTAAAAGTGTTGGCACATTGGGAACTCTCAGTGGCCTGAACGACAATAGTCGAGCTCAGGTCAGTCAGGTCATCACGACTTCGCCTAAAACTGGTTCTATCAGGCATACGACAACAGTGACCAACGATGCGCTGAGTACCTCGCAGCTCGACCACACCAATAACATGCGAAACACGACGCGTTCGCATCAACTGCCCAGGTCAGTTGTGAATTCGGAACAACTATATTAAGCAACAGATTGTTGGATGCCTAGTATCAACTGCTTGCCAAAATCTTATATAGGCTATTTATAAAAATAAACTAGACCCATTTTTATATCTAGGTATACGGGCAATGCGTACCTGCGATCACTCAACAACAATAACACTGGCAACGACGCCTCGTTTAACCCGCTGCTGTGTGCCACCACCAAAGAGAAGTGTTCGACAACTACCCGAACTACGACGACGATCTCAGAGAAGATCGACAGTTCCGGGAATTGTACCATGACCACTAATACGAAGGGCACTGGAGCTAACGGCGATGAAACAAACATTGATGGCATAGCTTCTTCTGTACGGAGCGGCCATACGCATCTTGGCTATTCTGGCAACGCTGTGAACGTCTGCGCGCCTGTTGCCGGGGATTATAAGTCCATTGTGGACGTTAATGTAGTCACCGATGCAGCAGGCCGTACTGTAACGAATATCAAAACGTCAGTATGCGCTACACCGAAGGGCAGGGAAAGCCCCCAATTGCCATCAGCAAAGGTGGAAAAGGTACGTGTCCAGCACGTAATTGCCCGTTACGATTTGCACGTGATTTTTGTTACGTTTTCTTAGTTACTATTTATATGATCTCAGTTTTATAGATACGAGATGATGAGATATATATTAGATATGTAGTGAATTTGCTCGTATTATGCACAATGTGAGTGTTAAGTGTGTGTCCGTAATTAAGTAGTTAAACCAACCGTGTCAAACACTAGAAGTATAGAATATGTAATCTTCAGGAGGCATCTACTTCTATAGATGAACAAAAATATTAGCTTGTGTATTTAATGGAAAGGATTTCCAACAATTATTTCAACACACAAAGTGCTCAAAAAATTTCTGCCACAATCTGTGCTTGGATCAGCTTTCCACAACCTCAGTTCAGAGGAACACTGACAATATTTATCATTTGTAATTGATTTTAGCAAAAAAAAATTGTGATATTCACATCATATAATCCCGTCATATATATCCTTGTTTTATCTCATGTCAATGGTACCATTTCTACACGGAGCCTTTGGCCTATACATAAATCTACCGTTTGGATAGCGGTCGTATCTCCATGCATAAATGTTTGTTTGCCATCCTTATTGCCCTACGTTTATTTTAATGTTTATGTGTGAGTACTGAAAATCCACATTGAAGGTAATTTTCTTTCGTTGAAAGCTAGCTCTAATGGGGAAAAAAGTGTAATCCTATTGTTTCTGCTATAGTCTTGGATCTATTAGTAGTAATGTAATGATCTTATGTGGCTTTATTTACTAACCTGCTCTGTTAGATAGCTATCTATTACTAATTACCTTTAGCTTTTATTTAATAAAAGGTCTGACTTTTTCGACTTTACTAACGCTAACAGCATTTCTCTAACGTTCGACGACCGCAGGCTACAACACAACCTCGTCGAAGGCGAACCTGGTCGTTGTCCGTTAGAAATAGAATCCACCAGTATGGTAATATGTGTTTTGGAAAGATATTGCCTTCTTCTGCTGGTATCTCTTATGCCAACCTCAAAAAACACACATATAAATTTTTAATTTAGCCAACAACTCCCACACAACAGCCGTCGACAACTATGCCAAACCATCATCGTACGTGTGAATAAGTCTGTTTTAATAGCCAATATTATTTTGCTTTGATCTTGCTCTAACTGCCTACTTATCTGTAATAAAAAAAAAAGAAATAAGTTCAAAAGAGACGGATTTGCAGTTTTAGGATTGGGCGTGTTATATTTACCAAAATAATGCATGCCAGGGTCTCCAGTCGTTCTTCCGTTCATCTATCTATGTTTTCTCCTGTTTTAGAAAACATACTTTTGCGATTCGCTTTAACTAACTGCGCCATAAATAGTAATAAAAATTAATGGCAATTAATGTATAAGGACATTTTGATCAAATTTAATGCCGAACGAGATCTTTTTTAGAGTCTCGAGGACAATCTGGTTATCTCACCGGGTTTTCATATACATATATATATATATATATAAATGCACCTAACTCGCCATCAAAGTTAATTTCAACTATTCAGCTGATCAATCATTATTATATATATTTAGTAATGTATTTAGGTTATATCTACATGTGTTTTCTGTATATGTTCTAATATTTGTTCGAGTGCATGGTGTGAAAATTGGCAGATGTGCTTAACGTGAAGTGTCAAAACGCACTAATAAACTTACCTGAAGAGTATCTAACATTCGGTCTTCTGCTCCGACCATGGGAACGCCCATTGCCTTGCTTGCAGACAAAACCTGAGCTGATCATTCCGGCTGATGAGAAAGCAACCTCGGATACAGATCTGGATGCGGTAGATCCGCCTCCTGAGGTTTCGTCTACCCAGGCCACGCGCTTCTTTGAGAATGCGGCGTCGGCGGCCGTTGTAGCCAGCGCTAAAACCTCGGCATCAGCTGGCGGCAATCTCTCCGCTGATGATTCGGGCTTCCTCTCGACCTCACCTCAACCGCAGTCGTTTGTGACGACTTCATCATAAGTTATTCTTACGTTACATCATCACATTCATCGGTCAGGACGGGTATTTCGAGCGACAGAACAGATTTACACCATAGATACTTGAGGTATCTCTAGATCTTAGCTATATCCCCCCCCCCCCCGCCACATGACCACCGTCGCAGTCTATCTCCTGTCAATTATCCTGGCAAAACGCATATATTGATAGCGTTGCGACATCCCGAACTCCCCTATATTAAGCATATGCCTGAGCACGGAATCGTAAACATTAGGTACTCGCAGAAAAAAATGCGCCGCTCGGATATCGAGAGTATGGTGCCTGGCGCATGTCTGCCCAACTTCATCGTTCATCAGCAGTCATTCCTTTCTTATTTGCCCCGTTGCCCACACGACACCGTTCTCAAAAAGACAGATTCACCCAATAATAATATTAATATATCCTCACCCAATCTTATGCAACCTTCACCACCTACATATAATTGCGGGGCACCTGCAGCGCATTCCGGGACGAATGCCAGCGGTGCTACCCTTCCCTGCTTCCGTTCAAAGACCCTTACATAAACCTTTCATTTGCCCTCGGCGCTTCTTTGTTCATCACCTAGTTAGGATCGTGCATACCTTCTTTACCAAAATGACCATCGTGCTCTTCTTACATGATTTTTGAGAGCAACTTAGTAGCAACTTTTTCATGAACCCCGTTCAAGGAACAATCGATAAGCTTATGAGTTCCCAGAGTTGCTCATGATTCTCGTTGCTTCGTACTGTATCAGCGTCTACCCCTTCGCTGCCCTACCTGCCCTACTCTAAGCCCAACCAGAAACTTCGGCTGAACGCGGATCTTGTGCGTGCCGCAAGGTCTGGCGTTGCTTCGACGAAGACCGCACCGCTCCCGACCACCGTTTTTTACTGAAGGTCCATGAACTTTTTAAAATATGTACGAGAAACTTTTGAATAGTTGTACCGCTATGCCAGCGACTCGAGTTTCAGAGATGGGATTTTCACCCTTTAAATCGAATTTCGAGTTCAAATGTGCAGACAAGTAACTTCGAACTGTAGTGTGCCAAAGTGCAGAAACAACACGAGATAATAACAACCGTTTTAAAAATGCCAACAACAAGAACAAGCCGATGCGAAGGAAAAAACGATAGGAATTCGATGATAACAAACAGATTTCACAGCGCTTTATATACTTATGACAAGGCACAGATAGAAAAACCTACGGAAGCCTTTGGGCGCAAGTTACAAAAATGCATGGCGAGATGATGCACAAATTCGACTTGGACTCGCCGAAGAGATGATCTGCTGTCGCGTCGTGTCATGAACAGTAAGCGTCTGCCGCGGAAAATCAGCGTATCACTTAGGGAGAAAAATCGTATCGTTTTTGATAAATCCTCGACTGCGTTTATCTTAATACACATATGATGTCAACTACCCTCGTACAATCTTCCTGGGTTGACGGTCGATACCTAAGCAATTAAATATAAAAAAAAATACACTCAAACATATTCACATCCACCGAGTACTTTTCATCTCATGTACTTTATAATAAAATTACATTTTGAATAAAAGATGCATATAAATAACGCATGACGACATGTTTTACCATCAATAAATCACTGTACACGTTATCCTGTGTATTCATTTGAGTACAATTTAAATAATATTTTATCATATATTTAAGTCTTTATAAAATGCTTGGATTTAGCATAATCAAGAGAAATAAAGTTTTCTAATCCTAAGAGTTGCCACTACAAAAACAATCAATTGCACGCATTCTTGGTCCGTTTTGCAAATTGATGCATCCGTTTTGGATCAGACAGATAAGATTTTCATAAATATGATCTGAATAAAAAAAATGGTCGAACGCTGTGTGTTTCATTCTTGTCTTTCCCACATATGCCGAGGTGGTTGCCTGGGTGGCATAGTATTTAACATATAACGTAGACATGCTCTCAATACTGTGCGTATTCGACAAGCCAATGCCTTCATCACAGTTTAACCTCCATAGAAAGTCGGTCTGTTTCAAGGAGAGCACTCACAAAAACTTAGATGTATACAAACAAGAGCAGAAGGTTATACGCTATATGCTGAACTAGCTCTTCTCCTAATCAAATAAGCTTTCGTATAATGCATTTTGTTTATTTATAAAAAGAAAGCAAAAAACTTGGGAAAGATTTTCCTTCATGTCGATGAGCAATCTAATATGATTATCACTGTTATTATTATCGGTGATCTAAGTGTGTAAGAACATTTTCAAAATTATAGTGCACTTCAGTTACGCGACAGGAGAGAAAACACGATGCATTGATACCTTTCGATTATCTAGAAATGAAGCCACAGACTATACAGACATAGGAACATAATTTAACTGAGTGTATAATTTGCGTATAATCTATTATATATTTACCAGTACGTCAAACTCTGTTCGACGATATTGTTGTTGGCCTCGAAAATAAAGTATTCGTAACGTCACTGCCTACAATTCTGTCGGGTGAAATTGGTGGAGTAAGCTGTCAGTGTGCTGCTCTTACAACTAATCAAGTCAGACCTAGCATCAACGTGAATAGGGTTAAAAGATAAATAAAAATATGAAATGGTTTCGGCTTTTATTTGTGTACTTTGCCCTACGAAATCAAAGTTCTCGTTTGTCCTGTTGGCGAGGTTGCAGTTCGCTTTGTGTTTCAAATATGCTTACTCTAGAGATCTGTGTGACAACGAAATGGACTACATCTTTAAAAACCGAAACTATGACACAATTTTATACAGTTTATTATGTTCTTCGTGAGACTCATTCTTTCATGGCTGTCTAATTGTAAGCGGCACGAAGGGCAAGTTTCTGAAGTATATATTTTTTCCACTTGTCTTTGGAAAGGCTACATGCATAATTCGCAAAAACTTATCGATACCTAATAAAAGAATTAATGAGTACGCTGTTCAGCTGATAAAAAAACATTGACATTTTAAGGGTTGTAACTTACTTTTCTGATTTACAGGCAAAATACTCAAAGATAATAGTGACACCGGAACGTTCAAAACACGTCGGCTACTAATAATTTTTTTTAAAAAACAAATATATTCGTGTTATAGAGAAACGATAAGTAAGAATTTTTTATTTTTATATATTGCTTTCATATGCTAGTGACGTATGAAGAAAAACATTTTTTCACGATTTTATGGTAGAACCGCAACGTTTCAATATTGCAATGTGATCATGTTGCGAGATCAAAAGATTTGCCTGCTTATATTTATTTCGAAGAGAAGAAGTATTGTTTAAGTTTTATTTTAAATATAACTTCACTTCCGATAATTTGTTTCCGCTGGTTGAGAGAAATGTTCTACAGGCAAAGTCTTGCCTGTTTATATTTAGAAGAACGCTTGAAAATGGCACCAACGCCTAAAAAAGCGTAGATAAGACTACGCCAATATGCTTAGCTGCTTAAGGATACTTTGACTAAATTTCACTTGAAAAATTTTTGTATTTATATTTTTATTTTGGGAGGGACTCGTAGAAAAAGCTCAGAAAGGGCTACGTATATAACTTAAAGAAGCCTTTTGACTGAAGCGCCTCCGGCCTCGATTTTTTAAAGACACCTATGAAATTACTTCTTGACATAGCTTAGGGTCGTAAGACAGAGGTAGAATGGTATTCGTGAAACCTTTTTACTTATATACAGAAGTCAGAATTCGCATTTTTTACCTGCTTCGTTTGTGGTGTTTAAGCCCTTAGACATTAATTAAGGCGTCTGGATCCTGAAACTGAGGCTGAAGGTTATGGATGAACTCATCATGCTGATAGTCTCCCCAAATGGGCATTAAGGCCCATAAAATTTCTGTCTAGACTTCTTGCTATTTTTTATACCCTAAAAAATATAAAAATGTAATTTCTATTGATACCATGACAAAGACCGCTTCATCAAGCCCGTTCACGACGCATACTAAACGATCTGTGCGATTAAATAAAATCATCCACTCACCGATAGGGCATATAGATTCATATGCAAAAATCTTAAATTTCGTGAGTTCTCGAGGAAGAAGTTCTCTAGCGACATTCATGTTTACGTATTGCACCACTACGTAGTGACGGTTTTTGAAAATTTACTTGAAGCATTCGATGGTATACGATGTAAATTTCGAAGCGACTCTCCTACAAGCGAAGTATTCTTTATAGTTGGAGTAAGCTGAAATAAGAAGAACAAATGCGAAACCAGCGAATCCAATGTAACTCATCCTCAAATGTACAGAAGAAGCAGAAAGAATTTTTTCAGTATGTCATTAATAACGTGAAGTAGTAGCTCGAACTGACTCATTAAATAATCTCTTTGCCTAGTATATGTTTCGATAATTTAGAAAACTACACAACCTGAGAAAAGGGTGACCGGAGGCTAAAGTTCGTACAGGTGATCAGCCAGTGATAGTAAATAAACGATAAGTACAACTGAACTTCTAACTATCATTTGAGTTACACGAAATCTGAATTTCAGCTAGCGAAAATGGGACGACTGAAACTCTTAGCAAAGCTCACTTTAGGATATCGGCGACAACAGTGGCGTCCTTAGAAGACAAAAATTTGATTAAAAACAATCCTGCAAAAATAGATCGTACCTCTGTTGATCTTTCTCTGCTGGTCATAGAATTATCCGCGAGAAAATATTAATTATACCAAACAGATGCTACCTCCCACAGCTATTCTCTTGGAGTTATCAAAGTCAGGTAAAATTTAAATGGCTAAGTAAACGAGTGGCAATATACTTTAGAAACAACAAGGGTTTGCCCCAAATGTTAACAACCACTACTTCCAAACGCTTTATTTAATGTATCATCATACGAAGATTTTTATCTCACCGAAATTAATCAACTGCATCGAGACACGTAAGTTAACGAAAACAGCTGGATTTTTCAAAAGGTAACTTAAGAATGTACTCCAATGAGTAACTGATAAGCTGCAAACTGCTAATTCTGTATATCTGTCTGATGTCAAAATGAATATTTAAGCTATTAGAAATTTCGACGAGCAAGTTATTTATATGTGGAACATTCTTAAACGTATGCTGTATAGCGATGGATATTTCTTTTGCGTTTAGATTTTCACATAGAGCAATCGAAACGGCACGAAAGTCACTGGTTTTTGACACGTGTTATGGCGCTGAAAATCCGTAAAAATGTACAAATGTTTTTTTTTTTTTTGAAACGATGTTACTCTACATAAGTCAGTTAATTGAGAATTTTTTCGCTATTAAGTTTAAGCAATTAGGAACTTTCAATAGTACTATAGTACTATAGTAACGCTGGAAAACGCTGTGCGTTTGACAACGCTGGTGTCATTAAGTTCAATCCGGCTATGAGTTCTATATTTTAGAATTACAACTATCAGAATATAATTTATCGGTATACTTCGATTATAACCGACGCCTTGACTTTGGACGCCATTATGATACGATAGCGCAGTGATTGTCCTATTGAAATACGCTACAGCTTTTTTCCAGTGGCAGCAAAAGAAGAAGAATGGCAACGGGTCGACACCCGGAAGTTTACAAGCTTGAGGTGGCATGATATTCTTATCTAGCAATCTGTCAAACGTGTCAGTTTTGTTTACTCATACTTTGTTAGACTTACCTGTTTAGAGAGACGGCTCATATATACGTCACAGAACTTATCGCTCATTTCATCTATACGAAGGTTTAGAAGATACAGTTGCTGTATCTAAGTGAACCTTTCTGATTCATGGCCCAAAAAGGTCAGGAGAATCCATAATCTCAGCCACAGCTTTTAGGAGCACGGATGCGGATTTAGGTATTACGTTCGATACGGCGGCTTCCGGATTTACGGGAAATATTGGGGCGGATATAAAAAAAAAAACGTATAGTATATTCCTCATCATATAGCATTAAATAGATTTGGACCATCTACCCGATGTTATCAGAATGTGTTATTTACAAGAAGCGTTACCTCTAAATCTAATAAATAAAAAGGTGTTAAACTGTTAGAAATTACTGCGATGCTGATTAGGGGCAAATAATATATCTATAAATGTACAACTTTGTCTTTAAGCGGTGCAATCGTACGCCTTTGCATATCTAGCATTTTCACAGAACGTCAAGATCATGTTGGTCTCGATACCTTGGTTGGCAGACGAATGCCTTTGGTAGGCAATGGCTAGTTGCGGTCCGTTACGATACAGGCCGAGTAGCGAGAGGCACTGTATATATACGTATACATACAAGGTGCAACTATGCAATGAATACAGCGACGAACTGGTCTATTATTGAAAGGGAGAATCGATAGATTTATGGAAGGTTTCCATTGTAATGTGGACCTTTCTGATTTGAAAGGCATGGCGCCTCACAGCATCCTTTATTCAGAGCTCGGTGACAGGTGCTGCTCATTTAAGCAACTTATATGTACAAATATAGCGCAGACAACTACCTTATGGCACTCATTTCGGTTTACGGACTCAATGGCTTGCGTAGTTCCGTATTATGGTTAGCATTGATATACACTGGTATGATGATAGGACTATCACCACTTGCTATTTCGTATTACGTAGTACATCAGCTTTACCTTTACCGTAGTTTTGCCGCATTTCCCCCAAGTGTCGAATAACACTTGGGGGAAATGCGGCAAAACTTCT